ACAGTTTACATGGGAATCACTCCTCCCTACCCAGGGTCTCACAGTATATATATACCCACTCTCTTCCATTCCAGCATTCTCTGAAGATGCCAACCACAGATGCTGGTGAAACGTCAGAAAGAAACTCTTCTAGAACATGGCCACACAGCCTGGAAAACCCACAAAAAACTATTATACAGATTCCATTTCTTCTTCCTTTTGCTATTTTTAATCTTCTCTATAATAATGAACACAAGAGGAATGTGTATATATGTATAGGGACAAACTCAATGCATATATGGCGTACTGAGAAAACTTATGATCCTTGTTATGACAAGGTGACTTTAATTGATCTGGGAAGATTCATGATAGATGGATGTTAACAATTCTGCCTAATCTTTTTATGTTTTATGTTTTACTGTATATTGTTAGTATTCTTAGTATATGTTTGTCTATGTAAATATACATGTATGTACTTATATATTTTGCACTATATTAATAAAATTTTTTAGAAAGAAAGACCATTTTCCTACTGTAGTAGCTACTGAACAGGTTTTTCTTGACTTCAAAGGGCAACTAAATGACAATGCTGTTTTGGGGATGGTTGTTTATTGGATGTGATTGTTGGATTTGTTGGAAAGACAAATTTTCTATATGGAACTACTTAGATGGCACTTACCATGATTGCTGGCCTGGCTTTTTCAGCTTTTGGCCTGGAAATTGGAAAATCACCTACCAGTTGAGAGGAGTTGATAGCATAGTGAAACCGTAGTTTCTTGAATGAACATCTTGGAAACTATGGTTTTACAACCTGGTAAGTTTCTCCTGAAGCTGGGAAGATAAGAGAGGAGCAGGAAGTGCTCAAGCTTGTCAATCATTCCTTTCTCAAACACCTTGTTTGTTTATCTGGTCAACTTTTACTTACAATGACTCTATGAATGAGAGGCCTCCAAGACACCCTGTTATGAAAAGTCCACTAAGACCGTGCAAATTCAGGGACATAGTTTCCTTGATTGATTCAATCCACCTGTAATAAGGTCTTCCTCTTTTCCTATTCTCTTCAGCTATTGAGTCATGTTGTCTCATGAGATATCCAAAACATAGTAGCCTCAAAATAGTAATTTTGGCTTCTAAGGAGAATTTAGGCTCAGTTGCTCTCAGATCCATTTATTTATCTTTTTGGCAGTCCTAGGTGTCTGTAGAACTCTCCGCCAGGAACACGTTTCAGATGAATTCTTTTTATATCAGCTACCTTCATTGTCCAGCTCTCACAACCCTACAAAGAAATCAGATGTACTATGACATGGATAATCTTAATTTTAGTATTTGGTGATATATCTTTACATTTCAGGATCTTGCCTGGCTCCTTCATAACTGCACTTCAAGTCTTAGGGCCTAAGCAGACGGCGCAAAGCGCCGTTTTTGAAGCCAGGAAGGGGAGGGGCAGCTGGGTGCCCCAACCCCTTCCCGAAAACGTCGTCTGAGCAGCCAGCCCTCCGCACGGCCGGCACTCCGACGACACACTTCCACTGCAGCATCCACACACGCTGCAGCAGAAGAGGTGCCGAAGGTGCGCCAGAGGCCTTTTGCGGCGCACCTTCAACTCCTTCCTAGGCCTGGGACACTATGCCGCGGGGCCGAGGAGTGCGGATACCTCGGCCCTGATCTGCAGCTTCCTGGGGCAGCCCCGTGCCGCCCGTCTGCTTCCTCCCTTACTCTTCATTTCTTGACTATAGTTTCCATTTTGATTAATCTTTGAACCAAGGTATAGAAAATCTTTAGCTATCCTTATGGCTTCATAATCCAATTTGAAGTTATGTATATCATTTGTGGTCATCTTTTCCTGCCCTTTACTTTAACCCTTCTTCAGCAGTTTCTTCCTTGACTTTCTTCAATAGATGTTCCAAAGCTTTGCTATTTTCTGTAGTATGGTATAATCTTTATGTTGTTAATTGCTGATGTTTCTTCACCCAGGTTTCATTATTCCTTCCTCCAACTTTAATCCTGATTTCTGTATGATATGTTTTGCACATAAATTAAATGTTGTTGTTGCTGTGTGCCTTCAAGTTGCTTCCAACTTACAGTGACCCTATCATCAGGTTTTCTTGGCAAGATTTGTTCAAAGAAGATTTGCCATTGCCTGTCCGGAGGCTGAGTTTTACTTGCCCAAGGTCACCCAGTGGATTTCCATGGCCAAGTAGGAATTGAACTGTGATCTTCTGAGCTGTAGTCCAACACTGAAACCAATATGTCACACTGGCAAGTGTTTGTTATAAAACAAACGTTTGTTGTAAAATCTTGACCACCTTGAGTATTTGTTGTAAAATCTTTGCTTGCATGGGGGATTAATACAGTGGTATGATAATTACAACAACCTCTTGTTCCTTGGGAGCAGAGAGAAATGTCATGTATATTCAACATTTCTAATCTGTTGACCATTGTTTTGCTGTCCATATTTCTTGGCAGATTTTTGTTCGAATGTGAATGGATTCAGTTTCTGAAGCTTGATACAGCTCTATTGGTATGCCATCTGTCTCTAGCATTTTATTTTTACCAAGTTCAATCAGCCCTCCTTATTCACGGATGCAGAATCCATGGATAAGGAGGGCTGATTGTATTTGGTAAAAATAAAATGCCAGAGACAGATGGCATACCAATAGAGCTGTATCGAGCCTCAGAAAGTGGATTTGTTGGAACTATCCACAGCTTGAAAATACCACCCCATCCAAAAAGCAAACCTCTATTTTGCTATTTTATGTAAGTGACACCATTTTGCTATGCCATTGTATATCATGTGATTTGAGCATCGATTGATTTTGGTATCCATGGGGCATCCTGGAACCAAACCACCATGGATACTGAGGTCCCACTGTACTTTAAGAGCTGTTTCCATTTCACTTTTAAAATTGTGGATTCATCATCAAAAGGTCCTTTATTGGATTAATCTGTCATCCAATTCATATCTTTTGTATAGTTTTTAGTCTGTAATTGTCTGATGTTATTTTCATAATTTTGTTTTGATCATATGGTGTGTTTGTCTGTTGGTCCCTACTCTTGGTTTAAATTTCCTTTTGATATCTCAGATCTTGTGGAAGAGGTCTCCTGTTCTTTTTTATTGACTTCTTCTGCTTCTTTGCATTGCATTGAATATTATGTTATATTGTAACTGGCTATTCAGTGACAATATTATTAATAATGGATATTGTTAATGCTTTCTCTCACAACTCCTCTACTTTTGTCTGACACTGTTTCAGTCTATGAAATTTTAAAGCATTTGCATTTTTCAAATGTATTTTACTTTTCTTGTTAAGGAGGCAGTGCTCCTTAATCAATATGCTATGATTTTTTGACAGATAAGCTCATGAATATGCAGTCAAATCTTTAACACAAACAAGAGGTCATGGATGCTCATGGTCTTATATTAGTGAACCTTTTTCCATTATAGAATACTGTAACGTTTGCATTGCATTAGGGTGCTGGTATAAATATTTATCCCAATGTTTTGGTATAAAATGTTTTTGAGATCATTGTAATATAAAATATTCCAGTCTTGCTCATTGACATCTGAACTGGTAACCAAAAAACAAATGTGTGTCACTGTAAGAGTTGAAACAAAATGACAATGAACCAAGTATTTAAAAGTTTGAATTGCAATCAAAATCAAACACACCATCTCTCTCTCTCTCTCTCTCTCACACACACACACACACACACTCTTCAGCAGTACAAATCCAGCTATATTTCATACTTAAGCTTGTTCAGTATGAAGCCTGTTAAGACATAAGCCTGTTGTCTACACCTTAACAGGACTGCATTTTGGCTTTCCTTTTGGATCATTAGAGTTTACTCATTTCAAAGAGCAGTAGATTCAAGACAAACAAAAGGCTGTTCTTCTTAACATAATGCACAATTTGTGGAAAGTAGCAGTGGGTACTTGTTAAAATAAGAGAGAAATGGATGAATGAATGAAGTCAAAATCTGTCAGTAGTCACTAGTCAAGATAGTTAAATGCAACCTTCAGTTTTGATATACAGTTGCCTCTGGGTAGCAGTTACTGATGCAGCAACAATGTGTGGTTTTCACTGTCTTCCTCTTATTGGCTTTCCCAATGAGCCTTGCTCTTATGAGAAATAGGATGTTGCACTGGATGGTTTTGTGGTCTGATTAAGCACAGACCTTCTAGATCAGTTCTGCCCAAAGTGGTGGTCCTTGGATTTGTGCAAGTCCTTGATCCATTCACTACCAGTCCTTGGCAGGTTTCCAGGAGAAAAAGAAACAGTTGTACTCAATAGGTACAAATTTAGTGCCAGTCCTGGGCCAACTGGAAAAAAGCAATTTTTGGTTCTCACATCAGATAACCTGGGAAGCAGTGTTATAGACCAGCTTTTTCCAGGTGTGCTGTTATAGACCAGCTTTCTCCAGGTGCGCTGGACTGTGACGCCTAAATGTATTCAGCCAGAACATTTGGAGGACAGTCGAATCGTGTTGTAGACCAGGGTGGGAATCATGCAACTGTCCAGATGTTACCAGATTACAACTCCCAGCAATTTTCCACATTGGCTATTCTGGTTTGAGCTAGTGGGAGTTGCAGTCCAACAACATATGGAGAGCCTCAGAGTTCCCATACCTGTTCTAGGTGGACTGTTCTAGACTTGGTACTGTATTTATATTATTCTTTTTGATGGTTTCTCACGATTCTAATGAACATCTTGTTGCAACCCACTCCACCACCACCCCAAAATTAGTTGACAGGTGGCTTGCTATTTTTGTGGTCCTGCGATGGCACAAACATATTATAATGTTGTGACATGAAATATTGTAATAGCCAGTCTTTATTTATTTGTATTAATTTTAAATTATTCTTATTGTTGTGTGCCTTGAAGTAATTTCCAATTTAAAGCAACCCTAAGGTAGCACGTGTTGTTTTTTTTTTTTTGGCAAGGCTTGTTGGGGGGGTTGCCTTTGCTTTCCTCTGAGGCTGAGAGGGTGTGACTTGCCCAAGGTCACCCAGAGGGTTTCCATGACTGAGTTGGGATTTGAACCCTCATTTCCAGAGCTACAGTTTAGCGCTCAAACCACTATACCATGCTGGCTCTCAAAATTATTCTTAGGATGTCCTTAAAGATGAGTCCTTCTGAGGTGGCATAGTGGCTTGAGCATTGGACCTATGACTCTGGAGGCGAGGGTTTGAACCCTGCTAGGTCATGCAACCCACTGGGTAACCATGGGCAAGTCTCGTGCTCTCAAGTTCAGGGAAAGGAAATGGCAAACCACCTCTGAACAAATGTTGCCCAGAAAACCCCATGATAGGTTTGCCATAGGGTTGCCATAAGTTTGGAATGACCTGACGGCACACAGCACACACACACATCTTCCCTAGATGTTGTTCGTAAGAAAAGAAATGCTACCAAAATCCTGACTTAACATTAATAGGATCTGCTCTAATTATGACTAAGCTTGGATTGAGACTGATACAGGAAAAATACCATATGTTATTCTGATTGCATTGTTTAATGGAAGATTCATCACAAGAAGGCAGATCAAGGATAGAGAGAGTATCCAGATGGGACAGAGCTGCCAACTTTGAGTAGTAAAGCTCAAGGCTGATTGGTAGTGGAATAAAATAGGGTAAGGAGGAGAGGCAAATGTATAATTCTCCTTAGTGGGATCTTTTGAAAGAGAGCTGGGTGGCAGCATACAGCACCCATCGTACCCCCTGATGGTACAAATTGATTATGATGCTGAAACATTGCTGGCTCTCATCATCTCTGACCTTGTCTGATTCACAGCTGTGTGAGCAGCTGACAGTCTCCAACCAGACAATCAGAGTACGTGTTTTAACTACTAAATCATAGCACAATTATCCCTCTGCTCATCATATAGGCAAACCTTAGGGCTCCCTAGGCAAAATTTAGATTTATTTTCATTTATTCCAGTGTTAAAATTTCTTTTACCCTTTGCACATTTTCAGGTTGTCATAAATATTGGCAAATACTTTCTCCCTCCCCTCTTTTAATTTTTTTAAAATCGCCTTTGGGATAAACATTAATTATATTATGCTTCCATTTTTAATGGCAAAAACTGTCGTGCAAGACTGGATTCTTTCAACCAATAACATTTCGTTGAGTAAATCTCTGCTTTTCCATTCTCTAGCAGTTATAAAACAGCTCCAGGGCACTCAGCATTTTTTCCTGATAAGAAGTTCATACCCCACAATGTATTTCTCTGATCTGCTGCAGTGCTTGCATTAAGAGACAGAAAATAAAAACTTTGATTTAAATTAGTATTTCAGTACAGTTGGCCTTCCGTTTTCATGGGGGATCTGTTCTGAAACAACACCCCCCTCATGAAAACAGAGACTCACCAATATCCAAGCCCCATAGGATTGAATGAAGCACACTCCCATGGATGTGCATCCCATTGATTTGAATGGAGGACACCCCTCCTTGAATATGCAAAACTGCGGACTTGAAGTCCTCGAGAATGGAGGGGCGACTGTATATGAAGGTAGTACAGATAGATAATGTAAACTTAAATTGTCAAAGCATAGACTAGCTTTTTGTGTGCAGAAGTCCCATTGCATTAAATAGGAGTTACTCCCAGGTGAGTGGGTTTAGAATTCTGTTGTGGCTTTAATCTGGTATAGATGCTGTGACCATGTGCCCTTGGTAGTTACTGGCTCAGGTGTAGAGGTTCTCCAGGTTAGCAAGGAGATCTACATAGCTCCCATTTTGCCATAGCACTCAAACGAGGCTGTATTACCTGTATGTGGGTTCTCTTTTCCCCAAAGTTTCACCAGAGGATTGAAATGGAGATTGCTTTATGCTTTAACAAAAACTTTTGGGAGACAGAGAACATGCAAACATAAGAAGAAGCATGAAGGACCAGATCAGATGGTGGCATCTTCTTTGACATTGTTTTCATTTTGATGGCCAAGCTATTTATTTTATTTATTTATTGAATTTCTCCTGGGGTGGTATCCAAAGCTGTTGTTTGTAACAGGACAGGAGTTCAGCTGCCCCTTCCATCTCATGTTCCCCAGCCGCTAATGTAGGGACTAAAGGGATTTAGGAATACTGCTTCTGAGACTAAAGGTAATGCAGAACCATTATGACTACGAACTCTTAATGGCATGCTCACACCTGAAGCCAACTGGTATTGCATTGGCACTAACTCCTCTAAATTAAGACTTGACCAGACCATAACAGTCCTACTGTTTATTGTGTTTATTTGTGTTTCATGAGGCATTAAGCCTAAAGAATTTAGGAGTTAAAAAGCTGGATTGTAGAATCAAAGGAGTTAGAAGAGGCCACAAGGGGCATTCAGTCCAACCCCCTGCCATGCAGGAAGACATAATCAAAGCATTTCCTACAAACTGTCATCCAGCCTCTGTTTAAAAACTTCCAAAAAAAAAAAGAAATTTCACACTCCAAAGCAGTGCATTCAGACAGCTCTTACCATCAGAAAGTTCTTTCTAATGTTTAGGTGGGATCTTTTTTTCCCCTGTAATTTGAATCTATCCACTGTACACAATTGGTTCCTTTTCCGCCATGAAATTTCCAGCCTGTTTCCTTTTTGGGCATGAAACATGTACTGCAGAAGTTCTTGCTAAAAGGCTGATCTTCTGTGGGATGTCGAGACTGGTGGATTTACATGACAGTTGCTGTTTACAGGCAGCCTCTTCATTCATAGTCATGTTGTGCCTGTATTAACACTGCCAAGTGCTAGTATCTTTGTACAGCTTCTATCATGGTGGGCCCATGATGTACCTTTGTGCATGTTTCCAGAATTGCCTAATTTGAAAGATTTCACAGTTGTTCCCAACTGTTGGCAATGAGGCTGCTGGCATGGGCCTGCATGCATCTTGACATGGAATTTAGCTTTATTATTTTGTTGTCCATCTGCCTGTTATATAAGACCAGGATTCTGAGAAATGGTGCTTTGACTTTGAAGGCAAATGTGGGAACATTTGAAGCTTATAAGGATTTCCTGTGGGGTCAGAGTATTGGTCTATCTAGTTGAGCATTTTGTTCTCAGACGGGCAGTATATCACATCTGAGGAATGGGCAACAATAGAAGGAGCAAGGGGTTGAGCTGGGGAATTGGAGTGAAAATATGGAGCCAGGAGACAAGAAATACATTAATGCATCAGAGTCAGGAAATTCTTACTGATCAGACAAATTTGCAATCCTAAAAAGAAAGACTCTTGTAGGCCTTCTTATGTGGGAAAACCCTAGTGGACAGTATAGGCAGGGCTAAGAAAAGATCCCTGTAGGTCAGTGGCCATGTTGGCTGGGGGTTCTGGGACTTGTAGTTCCAAAAAAGTGAGATTTTGTAAGTCCCACTTCTGATTACTGTGCCTCAGAAGCCAATCTCATCATGTCACACCATCTTCTGATTAGGTTTGAAAATTACCTTCCACATCCCACCCTCATCCTTGGTTTGTTCCATCATGTGTCTGCTTCAGATTGTGACTTTCTTTTAAAACATGAGGAAAAATGTGCATTTTTTCTTTGCATTTTTCTAATATTTACCTTTTTTGTCTAATTCAGTTTTACTATACTTTGTTTTTGTTTTGTTTGGAAATGACATGTTCCATGCTACTCCTCTTCCATTGCCACTCCTAATGGGTCTCAAGTGGAGGCCTTTTCCAACCTTGCAACCTGAACCTGGTATCTGACGTTTTGGATGGCACCAGCTGAGTCTACAGCCTTTGATTTTGTTCTGCATTATGGTCCTTTCCTATGGCAGTCTACCTTTAAAGCAAAGCAAAGCAAAGCAAAGCAGATTCATTTATATACTGCTTCATACTGCACTATGCAGTGTCTAAGCGGTTTACAACTGTAAACTCATTGCCCCCAACAAACTAGGTACTCATTTTAGCAACCTTGGAAGGATACAGGCCTGAGTCAAGCCTGAGCTCTGGCTAGTATTGAACTCACAACCTCGTGGTTTATGAGTGAGTGGCTGCAGTACAGGCATTTAATCACTGCGCCACCAGGGTTCTTAATGCATCAGGGTCAGGAAATTCTTTATTGTCTTTGCTACTTAGCTTTCTTCAGGTTCTTCAGGCTTGGTTAAGAACAGCTTCTTGTTGTCTGGCATCCTTCAGTAGGCAAGTAAAGTGTAACTTTGTAAAGTTTCAGGTGCTCCATCATAGAAAGCAGAGCCTGGAGTATACTGCCATGGCCATTTTCCACCCAGAGAACGGGAAGAAGCCTGAGAAATGCCCAGACAGCATCCAGCAGTTGTGCAGTTGTGAGAACAAAGCTGACACTGCCTTCTTGAATCTCCAGTGACTCTATGGAATTTTGCAAAGCCAGTATATGTTTGCTTTTCTCAGCTACAGAACTACAGCCAAGTATGCCAGGGCAACCCCACACCCACACCCTGGTGGACAGTAAATAGCTGAGACAGTGTGTTGTGGATGTTTGCCTGGAAGGTATAGATGTTATACAAGGAGTACTGAACACTTCCTTTTCAAACAACCAAAAAGGCACATATACAGACACGTCACCAACAATGGCAACTGTGATCTGGACAGTGGAAGGGGAACATATTTTGCTGTTGTGCTTTGTTTTTTGACAGCCCTCCACACTTAGAAGGGTCACTTGGCGAAACATCAGTGGGTATATACATTTAGGAAGAAGCAATCCTTCAAACGGTTGTTGTCATGTACTTCCAAGTCAACCCTGGCTTATGACAAACCTATCATAGAACTAGTAATACTTATTCAAAGGTTTGGCATTGCTTTCCTATAAGGCAGAGAGAGATTCACTTGTCCAAGGCCACCCAGTGGGTCTCCGCAGCTGAGTTGCAATTCATATTCTAGTCCAGGGGTAGGCAACCTAAGGCCCAGGGGCCGGATGCGGCCCCCCCAAGGCCTTTGGACCGGCCCCATTCAGGTTTTGCCACCGCCGCCGCCGGCAGCGGCCAGGATGCTATTGATTATTGTTGTTATTACTTGTTCTTGGGGTTTTCTTGGCAAAATCTCCACAGGGGTTTTGCATGGCTTTTCTGGGGCTGAGAGAGTGTGCATGCATATTTTTTAATTGTTTAATTTTTTTAAAAAAATATTAATTATTATATTTAT